GGCCCCAGCTTTGTTCTTTTTGATTGAGATTGCTTTGGCTGTTCTGGGTCTTTTGTGGTTTCATCCATATTTTACAATTTTTTTTCTATTTCTGTGAAGAATGCCAATGGAATTTTGATAGTGATTGCACTGAATCTGTAGATAACTTTAGGTAGTTTGGACATTTTAACAATCTTAATTCTTCCAATCCATGAACATTAGATATCTTTCTATTTGTTCTATATTGTTATTCAAGTCTGCTGTTTCCTTTTTGATTTTCTGTCTGGATGACCTGTTCATTGTTGAAAGTGGGGTATTGAAGTATCTTATATTATTGTATAATATTGTATATTATTGTATTGCTGTCTATTTCTCCCTTCAGTTCTGTTAATATTTGCTTTATACATTTAGCTTCTCCAATATTGGGTGTACATATATTTACAATTGTTATATCTCCTGGTGAAATGATACCTTTATCTTAATATATCAAGATATATTAATCTTAATATATCAAGATATATTAATCTTAATATATCATGATTTAATATATTGTGGTCATGGCAGTGATTTCTTGCATATGACCCCAAAACCTGTCTCTTGTGACAGGTTTTGACTGAAAGTCTATTTTGTCTGACAAAAGCCTATTTTGTCTTTTTGTTACCATTTGCATTGAATATCTTTTTCTGTCCCTCTGCTTTCAGCCCATATGTGTCTTTAGGCTAAAGTGAGTCTCTTCTAGGCAACAGATGTTGGATTTTTTTTTTCATCCATCCACCCATTCTGTTTCTTTTGATTGGAGAATTTCATTTACATATAAAGTAATTATTGAAAGATAAGGACTTATTATTGCCACTTTATTAATTGTTTTCTGGTTGTTTTGTAGATACTTTGTTCCTTTCTTTCTCTTTTGCTGTTTTCCTTTGTGATTTGTTGGTGTTTTGTAGTGGTATACTTTGATTCCTTTCTGTTTATCTTTTGTGTATCTACTAGGTATTTTTTTCTTTGTGGTTACCATAGTGCTTATGTAAAACATCTTATAGCTAATAACAGCTTAACTTCAATCACATACAAAGAGTCTACACTTTTACTTCTCCCCCTCCGTATTTTATGCTATTGGTGCCACACTTTACATTTTATATACTGTGTATTCCTTAACAAATTATTTCACCTATAGTTATTTTTTAATAACTTTGAATTAACTTTTATACTGGAATTAAAAGTGATTATGTTTTCATGTTGTTACTTAGTCTCCTTTTGTTTCAAAGAATTGTCTTTAGCATTTCTGGTAAGGCAAGTCTCATAGTGATGAATTCTCTTAGTATTGTTTGTCTGGAAATGTCTTATGTTTCCTTTGTTTCTAAAAGACAGCTTTGCTGGGATAATATTCTTGCTTGGCAGTTCTTTTCTTTCAGCACTTTGAATATGTCATCCCATTCCCTCTTGGTTTGTAAGGATTTTTTTGAGAAGTCTGCTGTTAGCCTTGTGTGGGTTTCCTTGTATGTGATAGTTGCTTTCTTTTGGCTGCTTTCAAAATTCTCTCTTTGTCTTTGACTTTTGGCAATTTGATTATTTCTTTAAAAATTTTTTTTATCAGCATATTCATTGTTACAAATCATACTTATTCTTTATTCCCCTTATCTGGTCTCTCCCATTCCCCCTCTCCCTCCCCATCCCCTTCCCCTTCCCCCTCCCCCCTCTAATAACCATAGATTTGTTCTCTCCATCCCATAGATTAACTTTTCCTCTGTTGGTTTGTTGCTTAAATGATCTGTCCAGTATTGAGACAGGTGTGATCAAGTCCTCCCCTGTTATCATAAATCAGATGCTTCTTCTATTACTCTGGAGTGGGCTTTGTGGAAAGAGAGGGCTTTTCTTTCTTTCTTTTTTTTTAATTGGTCTTTGCTGATGCCTCTTCTTGTGTCAATGAAGTTGAGAATCTGATGTGCCATCTGCACAGTGGCTGTGACTGCTCTATAGAGACTAGCCGCTTTTGTGGCAGCCATGGCAATTGCAGTGGCTGTGGAGGGCTACCTGTGTGAAAATGGTGTTTTTGGTGTTTTCTTTACTGGGTTGTGGCTGGGTTTGGCTTCCCCCAGCCTCATGCCTCAGCGCCCCAGTGGGGCCCCTGGGCAATGGTGGCAGCTTGCCTAGTTGCGGCTGGGTTTGGCTTCCCCTGGCTCTGTGCCTCATTCTAAGATGTTGTTGCAGAGTAGTTGGAGGGGACAAGGAGAAGGGAAGGGGGAGGGGAAATGGGGTGGGAAGAGGGGGAAGGAGGGGGAGTGTGACTGAGGCCTGTGGCCCTCACCTCATTACAGCAGGGGAGACAACGGGGCTTTCACTGGTGGCTGGGTCATCACTGGGCTGGATACAGATGTCAGGGGTGTGTGGCTGAAGCCGTTGGCCCCCACTGCCCTGCCTTGAGACCTGGGGTGCTTCCTGCAGAGGTTTGATGGTTGTCACTGGGCTGGTTGTGGATACTGAGGAGGGGGGGCATGGCTGAGGTCATCAGCCCCCACCACCCCAGCTTGGGAGCCCAGGGCACTTCCTGCAGTGGCTCAGTGGTCATCACTGGGCTGGTTGTGGGTGCTGGGGTGCATGGCTGAGGCCCTGAGCCCTCCCCGCTTCCTGGCTTGGGAGCCCAGGGGGCTTCAGGTCTTTCTAGATTTTATAGGTGTTCTTTGGTTGTGTTAGATTTTTACTAGTTAATATCAAACTTTGTCTCTGATCTGTGGGTATTTTGTTTTTACTTTCAGTTCTGTGTTGGCTGTTCCCACCACTTAAACTCTGCACTGGAACTAATTTGTTGTCCTTTGCTTACTTCTAAAATGGAGGAACTTCCTGTGGGGACTAGTACTTGAGCTCTGAATTTGAGCTAAACTAAACTGATTCATTGTTGCTGATTCCCTAGGGAAGGCTTTTTGTGCAGCTAAGGTTTTAATGGCTGACCTTGCATGTACTTCCAGGTCTCATGAGGTCTGGTACACCTGGGTTGTGTGGAAACTCTGGTCTGGTCCTGAGTCTTTTCAGCAAACTGCAACAAATTGCATTGGTGTCTGTGCATTTAAAGTAAAAAACCCATCTTCTAGTCTTTACAGATTCATTTCAGCAGGTAAAGACCTTCTCCTGTTGGGCTCTGGGCTTATGGGATTGCCTCTGGGTTCAACGTTGAGTGGAGGTAGAGCTGGGTTACATGGCTGCTGCTGGGTCTACAGTGGGATATGTGGTTGGCAGGCCTGTTATCAGGGGCTCAAGCAGGCATGGACTCTGCTTGGTCCCTGAGTGAACTGGATTGCCTCTTGGATCCTTGGTCAATAGGACTAGTGCTGGGTTACAGTTTGCTTCAGGGTCTGCAGATGAAGGGCTTGTTACCAGGTACATGAATAGGTATGGCTTCCTCTGGGTCCCTAGGAGGGCTCCTGCTAGATCAGTGGGTGGCTTCCTGGGAAGGCAGTACTTGCACTGGATAGTGGCTGAGAGGGGGTGGAAGTAAGTCACAGGGATGCTTTGGGGTCAGCAGCAGAGACAGTGTGTGCAGGCCTGGCTGAGAGGGCAGAGATAGGCATGTGTCCCTCTGAGTCCTGACTGGGTAGGACTGTTTTGAGACCACAGCAGAGAGGGGCTGGAACTGAATTACAGGGCTGTTTCACAGGGTTTATAGCCAGGATTGAGGTTGGTGGGCCTGTCCCTCAAGGCATAAATGGATATGACTTCTCCTACATCCATTGGCAGATGGTTCTGGTGGCAGGACCAAGCCAAATGGGGCTCTTGCTGTTTTACTTGCTCACTGTCTATTAAAAAGTGACATAAATAGAAGGCACATGCTATCCTCAGTACATGTGAACATGTGCTAGTAATGGCAGTTACAATAGTAATGATAATAATTGCCATAGCACTCAGAAAGGCATAATGTAGAAATCTAAATATAAAATAATGAGGGTATAGAACTGACTTTAAAAAATTATTAATTGACTTATTGCTATCAAAAGTACTGGGAGAAAGCCCTGTAGGACACAGAAGTTTCTAAGGAGATGGAAGAACAAATATTAGAAACATATTCATTCTTAACTCTTCTTTACCATTCTAATATGATAACCAGGGAGGAGGCTCGATAAAACAAAGAACTAAGTATCTGTAGATAACAAAAAGCTAAAAATCTCTTATATTGAAAAAGGACAAGAAAACCTACAGAGCATAGTTTTTTCCCAAGTGGTTTGCATTTTAAATATATTTTTTACAGTATTTAGTCCCATTTTTTTACTTTTTTTGTAATTTTATGTAGGTGATTAATGTTTTATTTTTACTGTCTTAGGATAAAGTGTTTCCTATCATTTTATAAAGAATATTAATAACTTCATTAACAGAAACTAGCTGATGTTTTGCCAAGTGAGGTTTACCAAATATTCTAATTCTCTATGCCGGTGATTCACCTCTAGGCTTCACCTGCTTCCCATAGGGATGTATATGGTGGCACTTACTGGAGTTGGCCTAGCTCATGTTTTAATCTTGGTGACTATGCCTTTTTCCATAAGATATAAGCAAAATGTTGTGGGTTTTTTTTTTATCCTTTTCTTGATGCATAAACAATAAATTGACACAGAGGGAAAAAAAAGATATTCACAAGATCTTGGCAGATAAATTTTTTACCTCCAAAAAGTCAAAAGTACAAAATGGAGTGACAAAGATTTTCACATTTTGTGCATTTCTTTGGTCACTTTTTAAGATTTGGATGCATTACTCTTCACTTATGATTTTTGTGTGAACCTCCCGGCTCTTCACCCGCAGTTTGTTGACCTGGGACTCTGCAATGTCAGCCCGTTCCTCAGCCTCCTCCAGCTCGTGCTGGAGCTTGCGGAATCTGGAGAGGTTGACGTTGGATTGTTCCTCCTGTGAAATGAAATGCATTTGTGACAGACAAAAGTTCAGAATTTCTATATTCTTGGGTCAATGGATCTTGAATTTCTTTTTATTAAAAAGTGATTCATTCTAGTAAATCTTTTAAGAAATCTAGAAAAATGTTTTTGAATTTCTGGGGTTTTTTTTTTTTGCATTAGCTTCTCTTATGCTTTTTGAACTCATGGATGACAAGGGATGACAGGTGCCATTTGTCTGTGAACTTTTGGGACAGCTAAATATCTTAGAGCTACTATGAAATAAGCCAGGTTTCCAGCTTTTTCTTTTTTTTTCAGAATCCTGATAATGAAGACAGACTATAAAAATGCAGGTATGCAATATATATTACACCAAACTATTAGCCTTGAATATAAATTATTGCCACGTGAGTTTAAATTATTGTCACTTGAGCATAAATTATTGCCACTTAATAAAGTTTAGAAACTAAACAAGAAGTTTGTTGTTTTCTAAAATAGTCTGATTATGTTTGAATTTGAGATTATGCAATGAATTTGAGAAGCCCAATTCTAGTTTAGTCTCCAGTAATCATTCTTTTTTAAAAGTCCCAGTAAGAATTCTCCAAAATGTGGTATTCAAATTGAGAACATTCATAAAGCTTAGAATCACTAAATAGAATAGCTTGAAAAGAACCTCCAATCTTCCTTGTATAATTGAGGAAACTAGGAGCTAGAGAAATGTTATGTGATTTGTCCAAGGTGTGGGTATGAGTGTATGACAGTACTTCAAAAAGTTCATGGAAGGATTTATATTATCTTTCAATTCTATTTTTCCACGAACTTTTTGAAGTATCCTGTGTGTGTGTGTGTGGTGTGTGTGTGTGTGTATGTGTGTGTGTGTGGTGTGTGTGTGTACCCATATGGGTGTTTATTCTCTCTCCTTCCCTCATCTCCTTCTCCTGCCCCATACTCTCTCTCTTTCTCTTTCTCTTTGACTTTAGAGGCTTTGGGAAAAATAAAAACCATTAATGAACAGAGGATCTTGTTTATGACATGTAGGTATGTGTACCTGTACTTAGAAAATTGATATTATTCAATTATTATTTCAGACAAATCACAGGATAGAAAAATGAGATATGGTGCAGTGCCAAGAATCTACTAGTTTGAACATAACCAAGATGTTCTGAGCTCTAGACTCTTATATTCAACTACTTACTTGACAACTTCACTTGCATATAATGGCATTTCACACTTAATATATCCCAGACAGAATTCCTATTTCCTTGTTGCCCTGCAAATCTGGCCTTTCATTAGTTCCCCATGTTAGTAAGTGTTATACCATCCACCTGATTACTCAAACCATAAACTTGATAAATTCCCTTTGATTTCCTCTCTTTCCCCTCCCAAGTGCAATCTACTAGCATATCTTGTCATTTTTACCTCCAAAATATATCTTGAATCTCTCCACTTCTCTCTCTTTGTTCCACTGCTTCCCTAACCCAAGCCACAGAATCTCCTTAAAATATTCCTAATATGTTTCTCTGCACCTACCTGTCTTACCCAGTAATCTGTTCTCCCCAGAGTAGCCAGAATATTCTTGTAAAAAAATACAAATCAGATCATGACTGACCCAACTTAAAACCCTCCTGTGGCTTCCCAGTTGCCCCGTTGTGCTAAGAATAAAATACAGATTTCTTACCTGTAAGACCCTGTGATCTGCCTCCTCCCTAGCTCTCTAGCACGTGTGTGCTGCTCTCTTCCTATTCTTTCTGCTTCCTGAACCGGACTGTTCTGCACTCAGAAGCTTTATATTTGCTCTTCCCCTCCCTAGAACACTTTACCTGGATCATTAAGTGGATAAGTTTCTTCTCATTCTCAGACCTTCATTCAGTCATTTTTCTTTGATTTTTCCTCATTTTACTCATCTTTTCTTTCATCCCTTTTCCTAGATTGGCCTGGTTATGTCTGAGAACTGGAGGCTGCCCAATCACCCCAGGGGGTTCTGAACTCACCGCTTCCTCCGCTTGTCTCTTGTAAGCTTTCACCTTCCCTTGCAGTTTGTCCACCAGGTCCTGGAGCCTGAGAACATTCTTACGGTCTTCTTCAGTCTGAAATAATATTTTAAAGGGTGAGTTTCTTGGATGTACAAATATCATCACATTTTGTTGTACTTACGGTTTTCAATCCCTTGCAGACTGGGTTGAAAACCTAGACAGGCCATTTTCCTTACCTGGTAGGTGAGTTCCTTCACTCTTCTCTCATGTTTGCGTAGACCCTTGACAGCTTCAACATTGCGCTTCTGTTCACTTTCAACTTCTCCTTCAAGTTCCCGTACCTGCAAGGAAGAGGAAATTTAAGAACATGTACTATAATCCCATCGGTCAATGAATTTCTGCTTCTTCAAATGACCTGCATTCTTTTTTTACTCTGCTTTATATGTAGTTTTTGATGCCCTAGTCTAATTGCCCCCATTATAAGCTCTCAGGCAGCAGGGAATATGTGTCTTTCATCTCATGCCCCATATCATCCAGCAGTGCCAGGTATTCCAAGTCGTGCATTGCATTGGAATGAGATGGGAACACATGCTGATTACAAGACCCACCCTGGCCTCCAGTTTCTGGATCTGCTTCTTCCCGCCCTTCAGCGCCAGCTGCTCGGCCTCGTCCAGACGGAGCTGCAGGTCCTTCACCGTCTGCTCCAGGTTCTTCTTCATGCGCTCCAGGTGGGCGCTGGTGTCCTGCTCCTTCTTCAGCTCCTCAGCCATCATGGCGGCCTAATTAGTAAAACCGAATCAGTTAAGACGGTGGAGAGAGCACAGCACGATTCATGTTTGCCCACCATGGTGTTGCCCTCCGCTCACGTCAGTGATGGCCTTCTTGGCCTTCTCTTCTGCATTGCGGGCTTCCTGGACAATGTCCTCCATCTCACCCTGGATTTGGGAAATGTCTGTCTCCAGCTTCTTCTTAGTGTTGATCAGGCTGGTGTTCTGGTTAAAATATCAAATTGAAATATTAAGTACATGACAGCAAAATTAGGATGTTTGATGTTCTAATGAATTCATAAACTAATTGAAACAACTAATCAGTATTCCTCTTTGTTTCATAAGTGATCTGAGTTAACAATATATTTTTAAAAGATAATCAAATCTGCATGTCACAGTTTAGATAAACAAAAATATTGGTAATCCAAAAGAAATTGTATGTTTTAAACTTTATTGTCCATGAAACATTATGAAACATTTCTAAGTAGCACTAAGATTTGAACAAGAATTTCATTTTCATTTCTTTGTATTTTGTACTATTGTATTACTCTCCCCACCTGGGTGTGCAGGAGCTGGACACGCTCACTGGCATCCAGGAGCTCCTGTTCTGCA